TAATGAAACACAATAACAATAACAAGGGCCATAGTAGGGAACTCTGGTGGCCTGAAATTAAGAAGCTATAGTGCAATCCCAACCAGCACACAATCTGAATCTACCAGTTGCTCTGTGGGGGAAGGATGAACTGTTTTCTCCCTTGGAATTTACTGTCTCTGAAAACCTGAGGCAGGATCATCTATGAGTTGGTTCTGAATTGACACAACAACAGCAAAAAAGACCATAATGGAGGAGGTTCTACCAGTTTCTATCAGACCAGTAAGCCTGTCCTTTTAAAAAACATTTTGAAGCCAATTTTTAAATGTATAGAAATACAGAATTAGTATCTTTTCTCATTCAAGTGTAAAGTCTCATTTCTTTGCCTTTTGAATTATTTGAATAATTTTCAGTTTTCCACTCAATTTTAAATTTTCTCCCTCTTTAGTTAGGAAGTTATATGCTTCATTTCTGCTTTTTAATGATTTTCTGGAACATGCATTGTACATTCTTGAAATATTCATGCCTAATGTTAATCCTTGGAGGCAAGGATGGCAAAGTTTCTTCTTTCGTACTTTGGACATGTAGCCAGGTAAGGCTATTCCTTAGAAAGGTACATCATTCTTAGAAAGATGGAGAGGAAAACTCTCAGTGAGATGGGCTGACAAGGTGACTTCATCAACGGGTTCAAGTGTGTCAGAGAGGATGAGGATGGCATAGGATAGGACAAGGTTCAGGTGGGCTGTTCATACAGCCTCTATAAGTTGTATTGACACAATAGCACCTAACATGATCAACAACAACAATGCTAATTCACATTTTGCCCTCCTCCTAGACAATCTGAGATCCTTGGGGCAATTGATCTACATTTAATTTACTTGAAATATATATGGAAAATATGCAGCCAGAGTCCTCCTTGTAGGCAAGGATGGTAAGGCTTTGTCTCTCATACTTTGAATATGTGGTTACGCTATTCCTTGGAAAAGAACATAATGCCTGGAAAGATAGAATTTCAGTGGAAGAGAGGAAGGAGCTCCTATGAGATGTATTTACATAGTGACTGCACCAATGGGCACAAGTGTTTCAGAGATGGTAAGGATGGCACAGGATAGGACAGGGTTCAAATCTGTTCATGGGGTTGCTCTGAGTTTTGATAAGCACCTAACAACAACAGATGTATATGCTATTTTTTGTTCATTAATATCAAAACCAAATCACCTGCTTGGAACAACTCTCAGGCCCCTGAATAGTCGAAAAACCATCTTAAGGCTTTGCCAACTTTATATTCTATAAGCCTGTACCTTGCACTTTTGGAATGTTAATGGGACCAGCCTTGAAGTTGGTAAAGCATTCTTAAAATAGAATTGCAGAGAAATGAGGCATAGTTTTCCCAAATCCAAAGAGGTTGACACCTTAACAGTGAGAGCTATCTATTTCCAATCAAATGCAATTGAAAAGCTGCAGGGAGCACTGGTAGATCTGCATGCCAGATGAAGTATATTCAAACTATGGTGAAAGAGCTGGAGTACAAGTAGGTCTATACTATAGCTCAGCTAAGATGATTCCAGAAGAACAAAATGACTTTATTTCTTGCTAAAAATGTTTCGTTTTCCTATTTCCTTAACAGATCCAGCCAGGCTGGTGTCCTTTCTGACACTGCATATGCTGATAAACCAGACAAGGTCATTTCTACCTATGTGAATAAAATTGAGTGAAGCTAAGAAGAAAACGTAAACTAAATGTTTGGCTGACTTGAAAGGATTTTTTTACTACTCATGATTATTCATAAATTAAAGTCATTAGAAAGTCATTAGATGCTAACTCTCTCTGGGGACAGCAGTACAAAATATTGGTTGATAAAATTAAACTTCAATTAAGTTATACCCTATACTAACCCTGAAAGTAGAGAGGTTTTTGTGATTAATATTTAATTTAGTTCAGTACAGTGAAAACACTTATTTTTACAGAGTGACTGACTATATTATGAGCAGCTATCCACGTGATTCTGAATTTTCACATCCCTGAGGCACGGTGATAATGTTACCATTGACCTGTGTAAGACCTCACTGCAGGCAGTCGGTGTCATTATTCTATAGAGCATCCTGCTGCTTTCTGATCCCACTTGGGTATCAAAGATTCCAACAGTGACTTCATAGCACTAAGCTTTAGATTCTCTGCAAGAACAGAAACCCTATATCCCATTGAGAAATTATGTCTTTTCAGAGATCATAGTGATATATGAGAAAGTAATATCTTCTGAAGGACAAACAAATCAGCCTTATGTCTCATGGGAAAGAATTCCAGAAGCCCTAACTCTGATGGTAGAAAGGCCATTACCATCTTTGCAGTTGTATCTATAAGGCACCCACACGAGTCTCTACTTCAATATTAGTTGGTCCCGTCTTATGAATTGAGACAACTGATGCCCAAATAGATGAATGGTTTGCCCAGGTCACACACTACTCATTACTAGTATTCTTAGAAGGTTCCAACCATATTTTTTCAAGCTCAACAAATATGTGGAGGGAGCTCTGGTGAAGTGGTAAAAAATTGTGCTGCCAACTCAAAGGCACACAGTTCAAATCCACCACCTGTTCCACTGGAGAAAAACTGAAATCTCCTCTTTTGCGATTTACTGCCTCTGAAAGTCTGCTGGGAGGTCAATTCTGACTGGACGCTATTCAACAATAACCAACACAACAATAAAGCACAACAGCATAAGACAGTTTTTATTTTAATTCATTTTAGAAGTTTGTTCTGCAGCAATCTTTACCATATCAATCTTCAGTCTTCTTAGGGAATGAGAAGAATAACATTACAACTGAAAAAAATAATCAAATCATATTCACAGTGTTTAAAGAGCACAAAGCCTCTCATTCAGCAGTCTCCTTAACTTTATAAATTTGTTGACGGATGAGAGAGTCATGTAATGCCTTGTGCAGACAAGAACGTGACAGAGATTGAAAGTATCTGTCAAGGGAATCCAGACCTTCTCTTTTGCAGTCTAGGATACCTGCCAGATCCGGCTCTGGTAATTGGCTCCCATGCAGGCTGCTATTTTAACAATGATTCTGTGGGTCGTCTACAGCACATCTTGATTTAAAGTGAAATGTTGAAGTGCTCTTCTCACCATTCAAAGCTTCCAGGGTTGCTCAAGTCTAGCTGATTGGACTGAGAAGGAGACAGTCTTCAAAACTTGTGTGTAGACTACCCAGCCTCCTCAAATGTAATGCATAAATCTCAGAGAGATGATGCCAGAGAAATCGGTTTCCTGCCAGAAGAAATATTTTCCCTAAAGTCAGATAGCATTGAAAAGCGAGTTGTTTATTGTTGCTATTATGTGCTACTGAGCCAGAACTGACTCATAGCTGACCCTCCAGTTGGTACTCAGAAGCTGGAAATTGTGTGGAAGGCAATTACCCATTTTCTCCAACAAAGTATCTGGTGGATTCAAACCAAACACCTTTGGTTTGGCAACACAGCTCCTAATCTACTAGATCACCAAAGTTCAGAAATAAAAATATATGGCAAAAATGCCACTGTGACCTTGAATATGCTTTCTTTAGGATGGTACAGAAATGAGGAATGGAGTGCTATTAAACTACACTGAACATTTTAATGTTAACTAGGCCAAAAAGTGTAGTGGGGGCCAGGGAGGGGGGAGATTTAAACTCTGAATAATCCTGAGAAGGAAGATTTTTGCCAAGGATAATTTAATGTCAAGAATGTATGTGAAGCTAAATATAAGGTACTCATGCACATCCCAGAACTGTGGGTGGGAATGTGCACATAATCTAATTAAATCATTCCATTTCCACTTATGGAACAATTTTCTGGCAAAAATTGACTGGAAAACATTTAGTCACATTTCACTTGGGTTATACTTATAAATACCAAGCTCCAGACATGTCAAAACAAGCCCCGCCAGCTCTTCCAAGCTAAGATGTCAGATAGACAATGGCTGCAAATGCAAGCGAAGACAAAGCACTTCTGGAATATTAGGCTTGAAACAGTAGTGGGAGTTCAGTCCTCAACAAGGATCTGAAAGGAGAAGAAATGCTGCCAAGGTGAGAATGACCCAGGGACATTAGAGGAGAGGACTTCAGAGGACCTCAAGGACAGTCTTGGCTTTCTGAAACTGGGGGGGTCACAGCCTCAGGATTTTTTAGCTCTATGTTATTTTCCTTTCTGAGAAAGTGCCCTTCAATTCTGAGCTCACTTTGGAGGGCAAGCAGTTGTGCTCATCCCTTAAATCATCTATTGATACAATGAGAATGAGGCTTTGGCTGCTGCCAACAAGCCCCTGTGTAAACCAAGACCTTCAGCAGAAATGCCAACATCTTTAAATAAATTAATGAACATTTCAAGGACAAACTTCTTTTTTGGTTATAACTACCAAACTTCCAGACAAAAAAAAAAAAAGGAAAAATTTTAAAAACCTAGACCAAGGAAAATCTTTAATTTACTTTTTAAACATTTTTTTAATTGGTTTCCTTACAAAGTTCATATACATTGTGTTTCACATCTCATGTTGTGTTTCATACAATCATTCTCATGCATTATGTTTTATAAAGTTAATCATCACTGGACCTTGCTCATCATTACCCTGTCTTTTCACCTGGATCTTTCCCATTCAGTTAACTTTTTAGGTTGTAATTAGAAGTCTCACATTCAGCCTCCTCTCTTTCTTCTCCATTACTTCTTCAGCTCCCTCAGCCAGGGCCCTGGGCCAGTGATGTCTCTGTCCACCAGTACCTGGTGCTGACGGTAGAATTAAGGGCTGGGAACCACAGAAATGAGGAAGGTCTTTCTTGATTTGCATGATTAGTTGGTAAATTCTGCTTGCTGAGACTTGTCAACACAGTGAAGACATACTTGTGAAGGTTTTTTCTGTATGTTTGCATCCTCAAATGATGACAGAATTAGCATGGAGAGGGCTTGGGTACCATGCACATGCCCAGGTTGCTGATGGAGAATGAGGAGAGTTGATCACATTCAGCTGAGACTGCAGGTGCAGCTGAGGTCTAGATGAATTCGGGCTTGGATAGAACCTGCATCTCATATTTTTCAGTTCTCTCCCGGTAGGTCATTCTGGAATCCCGTGATCTTTGCTCCCTAGAAAAAGTTAGAGAGAAGCAAGGGAGGAAAAGAATTTGACCTGATGAAAAGGAAATCAAGGATATGAAGTCATAATATTTATCAAAAGTGGATCAGACACCTTATAAGGAACTTTATATGTAAAACTTTCCTATTCACTCTTTTCCTATCTTGTCTAGGCCTCCATCCTCCTAGACTGTACCAGAACCCAGTGGTCAGAAGCATCACTTGTCAAGAATTAGGTGTCTGTTTCTACAGTAATGGTCTTATACAGTATTTGTCCTTATGAGATTGAGTTACTTCACTTAGCAGAATGCTCCCTAGTCCCTCCCAAATCAGGTAGTGATTAAAACGTGTATGAGAATCTAAGGAGGGGGGGCAGTCATAGGGTCACACAGTTTGATGAGTGGAGGAAGGAATGCATTATGGAAATGGGTAAGATTCAGTGTGAAAAACAATGTATATGGACTTTGTAAGTAAACTAGTATAATAAATAAAAATTTTATTTAAAAAAATAATTAGGAGCTGTTAATGAGCTTTTTACAATGGAACCACCTCCTTGTTATGAGAATTAAATGACTTGCTCAAGGTCACACACAGCTATTTTTAAAAAATGACAGAATGTGAACTTCAGGCATTGGCATCAAGTTTGATCTTTAAACCACACTTCTATTTTATCTCCTATTGATTTCTTCACCTGCCCACTGCAGCTTGTCCAAGAAATTAGTTACAAAACCAACAAAATGACTGAATGGTTGTCAGTGAGGAGAGTCTGGTTTCAGCTCTGGTATTAAATATTTATACAACCTCAATAATGTTGCTTTACCCTCCTGAACCTTAATTTGGATCTGTAAAGTCCCCTGTGGTTCTAGACACCACAGCATTGTATTTAGATAATTTGTACTGGACCTGTGAACAGAGTTAGGTCCTCTAAATATGTCATTGTTAAGATGGCTGCTTTGGGTGGTTGGTATGGTAAAGTTGAAAGAGCATTGCTTTTGATCTTGGTCAAGGTTTGAATTTGTCACATTAGGAAATCTTGGCCACATATTTGACACCTTCAGGCTTTCAAACATCTCATTTTTAATATAAGAATATTGTAATATTCTGGGGAGTTTTGGAATGATAAACTCTTCCTCCCATCCCCACCCTGAGGTTGCATTTAGTGGCTAATAGCAAATTGGATACAGACAAGATTGCCTCTTACCTACAGGGGAAGTAGATAGAGTTGCTGAAGACACAGTAGATGAGGGGGTTGATGGCACTGTTCAAGGCTGGCAGATTCTGGATGATTACAGAGGCATAGAAACGCTCCTTGGTGTTTGGAAGGACACTGAAATTGTCCAAAATATCAAAGAGGAAGTATGGGCTCCAACAGCAGATGAAGGCTGGAGGAAAGGAGAGCTGTTAGCATCATTACAGGCACCTACCGAGAGTTTCCCTGGTCAGCCCTGCCTGGGGCCTTATCTTGGAAGTTAGTTCTTTGGCACTAGAAATTTCTCAGAAATATTGAAGTGAGTAGAATGCTTTGAACAGAGTGTATGTTAACATTGGTGCCCTGCATATACACATATACATATCCTTACAAATAAATTTCTAAACTAACAAATTTTCAAGAGCTCCTTTATCTATAAAATGTAGTGAGGGTCCTGCTGTTTGACAGACTTTATTGAAAGCTTGGGAAAATTGACTATGCCCTTAGCCACATATCTAACATGATGCTGAAGAGAGTGAGCAAAATTCACTGAGATGTTCTCTGGGAAACTGCAGAACAGAAATCTTTGGGCAGGAGTGATTCCTAGTTGTAAGTTAAAGCAGGAGGAAGTGATGGTACTAAATGTTATCTCAAAGCATAGCTAGGCTTAATCATAACATTCTAAATTTCCCTTCCTGTATCAATCTATTTGCAGAACAGATCATCTGGGAGGCTGGGCTGTATGAGGAGGAACGTGACATCAGGACTGGAGGAAGATTCATCAACAACCTGCATTATACAGATGACACAACCCTTTTTGCTGAAACTGAGGAGGACCTGAAGTGCTTGCTGCAGAAGGTCAAGAACTACAGACTTCAATATGGATTGAAGCTCAACATCAAGAAAACAAAGATTCTCACTACTGGGCCAATTGGCAGCATCAGTATGAATGGTGAAGGGATTGAGATTGTTAACAGTTTTAGTTTACTTGGCTCCACAGTCAACACTTTTGGTACTAGCAGCCAGGAAATCAAGAGATGAATTGCACTGGGAAAGTCAGCTGCCAGGGACCTCTCCAGAGTACTGAAGAGCAATGACATCAGTCTGGAAATTAAGATGTATCTGATCCAGACCATTAGAGAGCTAGACAATGACTAGGGATGATAGAAAGAGAATTGATGCTTTTGAGCTGTGGTGCTGGAGAAAAATGTGTAACATACCATAAACTGCTAGGAGAACAAACAGGTTTGACTTGGAGAGGGTTAAACCAGGCTGCTCCTTGGAGGCAAGGATTCTGAAGCTTTGGCTGACATACTCTGGATGTGTTACAGGGACAGGGACATCATGCTTGGGAGGTAACAAGCAAGAGAGACAGTACAAGAGAGGAAGACCCTTGATGAGATGGATCAATTCAGTGATTGGGGTAGTGGGAGTAGGTGTGTCAGAGACAGTAAAGTTGACACACGATAGAGTAGGATGTAGGGCTCTTGTACATAGGGTCACTATGAGTTGCAAGCGACTTGATGGTACCAAACAACAACATATCTAACTTGGTCACTTCTGGAAACATCCCGCACTAAACACCCCCTTGTCCAAATTAAATAGTATTTCCAAGACTCTAATTTGTTTGTTTCTAAATCCTCAGAGTGGGGAATGGAAATTCACACATAAACATTCTTGACAATGACTAGGCTTGGGAGGTTTATGAAGGAAATAGATTGGGGAGTGGGAGAGGCAAAGAATATCATACAAAGCAAATTCAGGTTTAGTCCAGTAGCCCCAAGCCAGATCAACAAGGCACAATTTCTCAATTAAAGTGCAGATTCAATTTAGCAACACAATTTATCATTACTCTTCACTCTGCTTATCTCCCTGATTCTCTTCAGGATTTTCCCTCAGAGAAGAATTTTCGCCTCCTTGGCCATCTGCCAACAGAGGCAAACTTGCCTCCATAATTGACTGACACATGGTTCTGTTCTCCAGACTTTGGCAATATATTATATATTTGGCAATATATTAAAGGTGAACAATTCAGACACAAAGTCCATGAGACTCCCAGGTCTCTGGTTGGTTAACTACAGCATTGGCCTAGAATAGTGCTTCTAGGGATGGTAGCAGGTTTATTGTTGTTGTTAGGTACTGTCAAGTATGACCTATAACAACTATATGAACAGATCTGAACTCTGTCCTATCCTGTACCATCTCCATCATCACTGACACCCTTGAGCCCATTGCTGCAGTCACCATATCAATCCATCTCATTAGGGGTATTCCTCTTTTTCTCTGACCATACATCTTTCCGACATGATGTCCCTTTCCAAAGAACAGCATATCCTAGCAACATGCCCAAAGAATGAGAGATGAAGTTATGTCGTCTTTGCCTCCAAGAAGCACTCTGACTACACTTTCCCCAAGAATATGTGTTTGTTCTTTTGGCAGCCCATGGGATATTTAGTATTCTTCTCCAACACAACTCAAAGGCATAAATTCTTTTTTCTGTCATTCTTTTTTCATTGTCTAACTATCAGCATGGCCTGAATCAGACACACTTTTGTTTTCAAACTGATCCCTTAAAAATTTACATCTGCTTTGAACACAATCTGATTTGGAAATAGAGTTGTTGCAGATGCAATCCAGGTAAAATGTAGTCTTACTAGATTACACCCCTTATTGAACGACTTGTGTTGTTATATTTGGATACAGACATGCAGGAGAGAAAGCCACATAGAAAGCCAAAAGGTCATAAAAACAGGAGATGTATCTACATGTTAAGAAATGCCAAGAACTGTCAGCATCAACCATAAACAAGAAGAGAGGCATGAAACAGATTCTCTCTGAAAGCCTCCAGAATGTAAAAACTCCCCTAATAGCCTTATTTCATGTATATAGCTGCTAGGAATATGAAATAGACATTTATGTTTTACTGCACCCTTTTTGTACTCCTTTGTTACATTATCAAAAAAGAAACTAATACAGGAATGGCAGAACAAATTGACTTTGTGGCCATTTTTGAAATTGTATGTACACTGGTGTGGTGGGAATTCGGCCTGGGGAGGAAGGCAGTCCCACCAGGAAAGGTTTATCATGTATGTCACATACTTCCTTCAAATCCAGCTCAACATTCATGTTACCCAAACTCAATGTTATTGAGTTGGAACAGACCCACAGCTAACCTTCTATTGATGTCCTGAGGCTGTCAGTTTAAATGGTAGGAGACTGACCATCTTTTCCCCCATCAGCTTTTAGGGATTTGAAACATCAGGGAGGTGCATCCTTTGAGGTTAGCAGCACAACTCACTATAAACTGTGCCATCCGAGCTGCATGAACATTTACACAAGAGGGAGAAAAACTCTTCCTGCTTATTCCCACCTATGTCTATAAATGTAGCTGTTTTATATATAAACACAAAATATTTTTAATAAATATTGAACTTTTCAGAAATGCCATTCTCTCTAAAATGGAGGAAAGATCATTTTGTTAAAGCGGGAACTTTACTAATCTGTTCACCTGCTCAGAAAATCAAGTTGCGAACAACATTATTGCTTTTATTTTTAAATTCTCCAAGAAAATGCACCTGTATTGGCCTTCTTTATATCTGTTACTATGTCTAGATTCAAGCATCTGACTGCTTCATTATGTTTCCTACTGGAGCTGGTTTATACATTGAAACCTGCATTATTTTAAATAATCTTTCTGCAAGTTTCCCTTTATTGTTAGAGCAGTAAGTACACTTATTTGTAAAGAACTATGCTAGGTGGGTAATAATATGTGCACATTTCATTTCAGTGTGGTTAAGAGAGCACTGCCAAATGTTCTAGAAAGTGATGCTCTGGTCTGAGAGAGCTGCTGTTGTGGGCTGACCCTTTAGTATGTCCCCTATGCAGGGCCTGGGTAGTTGGTTCCTAATTGCGAAAGGCTGTCTTGGTCTGAAACACATGCATAAATATGTGTGTGTGTGTGTGTGTGTGTGTGTGTGTGTGTGTGTATGTGTGAGATAGATGTGTGTGTGCGCGCGCGCACGTGTGTGTGTGCGTGTGTGTGTATTCAGATTCAACATCCAGGGAATGTGAATCTGTGCTTCTGACTGTCTTGGAGGACAAAGTGATTCTTTGATCCACCCCAGACGCCTCTGATAAAGGCTTTTGAGCCCTGGTGCCTTGTATACGTTTTATCCCCAGTTCTCTCTGCACTGTTGTTTCCACTAGCTGAGCTTTGCGGCATGTGGTCTTACATTTTTATTGTTGTCCTTTAAGAAGCTGAGACTGATGGTTTTGGTGGTTTAACATGCAGCTAATATGAAGGACAGTGTTTCTTTGAGCTATCAAATGTTAGGAGAAGAGATGCAAAGGGCAGGAAAACAGCACAGGTTCTTTTCACTATTGATCATTGAAATTCATTTACTTATTCAACAAATGTTCATAAATGGGGGACCTAGACCTTGGGGTCAGTGTAAAGTACACAAAGAAAAAGTTACCGTTCTCATAGATTTATTATTTTTTGCAGAGGAGGACAAATGATTAGCAATCAATATATATCCTGTATTCTTAGACAAAGTATGAACTATGAGGAAAAAGAAATTTGAAGATGCTTGTAGGTTTATTATCAACAGTAAAATCAGACACATGAAGAAATGCTCAAAATCACTGGCAATAAGAGAGATGCAAATCAAAACTATAATGAGACACCATCTCACTCCAGCAGCACTGGCAAAGTTTAACAGGACAGCAAGTAATAAATGTTGGAGAGGCTGTGGTGAGATAGGAACTCTTATACATTGTTGGTGGGATTGTACAATGGGACACTCACTCTGGAAGGCAGAAGGCTGAACATAGAAATTCCATATGATACAGCTGCTTGGAATATACCCTGAAAAAATAGACATTGAAGCACAAAGGGAGACTTGTACACCAATATTCATCATTGCAAGAACATAGAAACAGCTCAAATGTCCAACCACAAACTAATGGATTGAGAAATTATAGTGCAATCACATGATGGAATACTGCACAGCACGCAGGAGCAATGATTTTGTAAATGACTACTTAACTTCAGAGGGACTGGAGAGCGTTATGCTAAGTGAACTAATTCAGTCCCATAAGAACAAATACTGCATAAGACCATTTTGTTAAGGATCCAAAGAAGGGAGTGAAGGTGAAAAGGGGTGATGATGGTCAGGATGATGGGGTGGTGGT